CACCCAGGACAGAAAATAGATGGAGACCTCAGGCTCATACAGGTGCAAGGCCGTCTCCCCTTGTCCTTTCCACTCTCTCTCTCCCAACTGTCTTATCCCACCACGCCCTCCCCCTCTCTATTTTTCCTGGCTAAAACCCACCACAGACACCAGCACACCCGGAAAGAGATAAATAAATAAAAGAAAAACAATCTCAACTGTGAAAAGCAGTCCAAATCAGAATTCTTTTTCCGGCCTGAGTTAATTACACTTTAAACTGGCATGTTTACTGATGGGGATTTCGAGTTAGCAGAGACGCCCCCCCAACTGTTTGTACAGTAAACTTTGCAGGCTGGCGGCTCCCCCAGGCCTTGGCAGCCCTGCAGCTCTGGCTACCCTGCCTGCCAAGGAGAGCGTAGCAGAACCATGTATTTTTGAGTGTTAGAGAAAACGAAGCTGTCGCAGATGGCAGGATTGGGGTGGGGTGGGGGGCAGGGTTGGGATGTGTGCCTCCAACTCCATTCTGTGCATCTTCTACACAACTTCTGGACCCCTTTGCCCTGGGAAAACCCCATTCTTGATCCAAGCCCTAATGGAACCAAGTATTATAAGTCCCGAGGGCAGACACTCACCAGGCCCACTGACGGCTTAAGGGCAGGCCTCGGGGCTTGCTTGCAGCCATGGCTGTCCCATGGGCATACCCGAAGGGACAGCTCCAACGTAGAAATAGCAGTTGGGTAGGTGGAGTTCCTGAACATCCACTCCTGAGGGCCAATCCAGCATCATGTGCCTACAATGGAAAGACAAGGACAACAAGCCTTCACAGGGCCTTCTCGGTATGCAATCTGGGCAAGCACAGGCACACATGCAAACAAGTTCCACAGTAGCGTCGATAAAAGATCACATGATGAACATCCGAGGGCAAGTGAGATCGTGTGTTGGGCTGGAGCGAGAAGGCTTCCTGGAGGGGGCAGGGCCTGGGGCAGCCTGCCCTCCCTCGGGGTCCCTCGCACTCCCAGCCTTGCCACCTTCCTTCGGAGGCTGCAGTTCTATGATCCTCTAGCTGCCCTCCATGTCGCTGGGATAATAAGAAAAAGATGGACGAGCCTCCATCAGGCCCCATGTCCCAGCCCTCAAGCCTGACCTCGCCCATGACAAATGGCCCCACCACCTCCACAGGATCTTTTCAGCAGCCCCGGCTGTAGTGTTGGTAACATTGCTGGAGATTTATGTTGTCTTCCCTGGATATTTCTCCCTTTCCTTGTTTCTTAATTTCTTCAAAAAAAAAAGTGTGTTTTTATTTATTCATCCCATAAATGCTCTCTGAGTGCTGCCTGTGAGCTTCCTCCCAGCTTTCGCTCCATCACCTCCTGGTGCCAGCATCTGAGCCCATTGGATCCAAGGAAGATGGGTGTTTTCTGAGCATCTATGAGCAGCCCTAGGGGTACACAGGTTCCCACAACCCTTCAAATCTTGACAAAGAAACACTACTGACTCACTAGACATGGGTCTGACTCCAAATCCCCATGGGGACAGGACCCTACAGTCCAGAGTTCTTAACTGCTCAAAGATGTGAGAAGAGAAATTGGCCAGGAGGGGAGCAGACTCGGGGGATTCAGTCAGCTTCTGGGGACCTCAGATGAGGGATGACATCTTTAGAATGATCCTAGCCTACCCAGCACACAAGCTAAGATGTACGTAGCTCATCATGCAGTGCTCCAGCCTCTGACAGGATGCAGCAGGCACACACACACACACACACACACACACACACACACACACACACACAAAATGACAGAGCCGGCTAATGCAGACCTTCAGTAGAAGCAAACAAAACAGCCAATTCCGGCCTGATATTTAACATCCACAGTGCCCTGGGTTTCCTGATGGAGTAGGCAGCCCCATCTCAAGCCAGACAGGAATGAAAGCCTCTTAGTTAATGGGAGAAGAAACAGGTAAGTTAAAAGGGAAAAAAGAAAAGCCTGATGATCCTGGCAAGAAATGTCTTGGGTAAAGTGAGCCTGCCTCACTGTACAGAAAGACGTGGAAACCAATTCAATGAGCTGTCTGTCATCTATGGCGCATGGGTCATTTCGAGAGGTCCATGGGGCCAGCACAAGTAGAAATGTTGAGAACACATAGCCCGGAGCCATGTCTCCAGATGGGAGAGCTTGGAAAGTCACCCAACCTCTCTGGGTCCCAGCAAATTCCTCTTGCATAAAAAGAACCTACTCCCCTCACAGGTCACAAATACTCACTGGGGACAGCTAATACTTACCCCTACACACACACACACACACACACACACACACACACACTCCCCTTAAAAACAACAAAGAAATGCACCATTGGGCTCAGTCCCATCACATCGAAAAGAAGCAAGAAGCAAGGGTTGGGTGAACTGGTTCTAACATCTGCCAGGCACAGAGAAACAGCCTCTGCTCTGTGACCTTGGCCTACAGGGTTTACTTGCTATCTCAGAGATAGCATGTGAATTCTCTGACCCTAGATGTACCCTCAGGGGCTTTCTTCCTGCCTGCCTGTCTGCCTGCCTGGGGGGACAGACATTTTCACTTGACTCATTAGATGAGAAAAGTCCTTTGTTTGTCTTTTCTTCTCCTCAAACAATGGATAAGTCTAGTAATTTTGCTTTTATTAAAGTCTGCATCAACCGAGAGGGGTCATCCTCTGGGTCTCCAGTGAGTCTGAAACGTGCATGCCGCTGATTGCTCGGCATCCCAGCAGACATCCCATCTCTTGCACCATCCTCCCTTGGTAGATGAGGTACCTGGGGCTTTCCCCCTCAGTGGTGAAGGGACTTGGGGTGGCCATCCTGCTGATGCTGAGGTGTGGCTGCGCTTACATTGGAGCAATTAAACTGGAAGGCCAGCAGCGGCCTCGCACACGTTTAATATATTCTAAAGATGTGTCATTAACAGCAATTTCCATCTGCAAATGTTCCCATTTACTCGGGTCCCTGCATAAAATATTAGCCCTGACAGCAGATCAGGCCTGCTGAAAAGGGGCTCCATGGGCCTCTGGCTCATCACCACAGAGGCATTCATGGAGTGGAAGGGGGTTGTGCTTAGATGAGTCTGAGATCTAGCATGGGGCCCCAGCCACAAGAGTGGAGAAAAGCCTGTACACCTAGCTGACCTGTCTCTAGCTGCAGGGACTCTCAGAAGAGTGATATTCTAGGGTGAGGTAGTGGCAGGGGGGCTGGAAAACCAAACAGCCTCTAACAAATGCAAAGACTATGCAAAACCCAGCTTCCATATTTATGGAATCAGCCACCACATCTTATGGAATTCCTGCTTCACGCTCACCACTTTCCTGGGGATTAACCTAATATGGTTTCTGCCTTTGGGGACTCTGTTAGTCAATCAGCATGCTTCATTATTCTGTCACTATAGACCTGGCCTGGATCCTAAGGCTTAGAATGAAGCAGAGGATAAGTTAAGGAAGTAAGAAAGAAGAGAGGGAAATGGGGCCAGGGGAGAAAAAAGGAGGGAAGGAGGGAAAAGACAAAGGGAGGGAAGGACAGGAAGGGAAGGAAAAAGAAAGAAAAATACAAAAGTCTGTCCATGCCTTGGGTAATCTTACAGTGTTTTTTGTTTGTTTGTTTGTTTTGTGTGGGGGTGGTATTGGCGGGGAGAGTTGTTCAGAGAGCCTTAGACCATAAAGACAGCACTAGGCAATTTGGGATAGCAGGGAAAAGGCAACTATGACCAGCTCCCAGAAGAAGGGGAATGAGAAGGCCTTCCTGAACAAGAGGAAGAGACTGAAGAGAGACTATGTGCCAGGTCCAAGCAAGAGTGGGCAGCCAGGCCTTTGGGCAGGACTGTGGGGGAATGGGGATGCAGAGGGGAGGGAGATACTGTCCTCTGTGGGCACAGAGGATGTTGTTGTTGAGGGGGCCCAGAAGAGGCGAAGAAGCCCACAGGGTCCAGCTGCCAAGACGAGGGAGCTACTTGCACTGGTGGGGCAATGCAAGTCTACTCAGAAAGAACTCTTCCACCCTGGAGATCCTTACCAAATACCAATGGTTCCTCCTGGGCATGATCAGCTACTTTCTGAGGTGCCCGAGTCTCCAAGCCAAGTCTCTATGGCAAGCTCACAGGGGTAGGACAGAGATAGAGTACAAAGATGGACAAGGCATGAGTTAAGTACAGGCTAACCCCTGTCTGGGACCTGGGTCTGCTTGAGACAGGGACACAGCAGGGGTACCACTGCCTCATATGCTCAAGGGTACACTGTTGTTTCCACCAGAGAACTGGGAAAGCAACAGCTAGGGTACAGCCTCGCACACAGACTCCAGTTTCAATCAACACACAGGCTTCTATGCTGGCATCAGCAACTCAGAGTATCAGTGGTCCAGCGTAGATGCCATCACACAGAAAGTGAGCATCTCAGAGACAAGCTACTTCAGCTGTCACCCAGCAGCATGGACACTACATAGGTGGCTTCTTCCTCTAAGATGGGCTTCCCTACCCCTGCTGAGGGAGACATGATGCTCTGAGTCAGGGTGAGTCAGATACATGCCTGACCACCAAGCTGTGTGCAGTGGGCCAGCAGAATATGGCCCTCCCCTGACACCCAGACTCACAAAGGTGAGACCTAAGGCTAGAGAGAGGTGACCATGTAGGAGGAATGGAACTCCATCATGGGCTGTATATACAACCAGCTGGCCTGATTCTTCCCCAACTATTACGCCATCCCTCCAAGCCCTCATGGTATTGGGAGGCACCCCAGATGCAGGGCATGCAGACATGCAGCTCTCAGTGGAACGCCTTAGATAGGGACAGACACCTACTCCTGTGGCAAGAGGCACGGAAAGCGGACAGATTCCAGGCATCCATTGCATGCCGGGCCAGCACTTCATGGCCAGCCTGCAAGGTTGGTGTGATCCCAGGAAGCTTCTCAGGATGGGTGTGAAGCTGAGGCCCAGTGGATAGGGTGACAGGTGTCATACAGAGTCCATGCATTCACCTACCGAGCGGTGGTATGGCACCTGGGAGGTACTGCCGAGTGACAGGAGTAACAGGTGGTATTGAAAACAGGCCATCTGTGTTATATTCGTCATTAATAAAGCGAACTCATCACAGACAACCTCTCCTCAAGTACCCAATGTTGGCTGCTGTATCCACAGAGCTTGCATCACCTCCTGAAGCTGCCCTGGGGAGGGGTAGGGTAGATGTGAATGGTGAGAGGAGCTAGACACGGACAGCACACAGCCTATCCCACCCGGCCCAGGTTCCCACTGAGGTAGCAACCTAGAAGCACCATATCCCTTTCCCCACCCCCCCACAGGGGCTGCAATTCCAAGAACTTCTTCAAGCTGAGCGTTGATACCGAGAAAAGATCAACCATGTATTATTCGAAGTCAGCCAAGCGAATATAACACGGTCGATCTTCCTTCAAGTACCAGCAGAGGTGCTGAGCTGAGGTAGCAGCATTCTGGACGCGGGGCCGCAGCGGGCATCGACGGCTAGTGGACCAGGTGAAGTACATTAGAAACAATTACTTTCCAGCTGGTCGACCATCCGTCCCATACCCCAGAGCAAGATGATTCCATGTTCTTCCCTTAGGTGCTGGGGTCTCCAATCGGCCTCCCTGGAGGGATTCTGATACCGAAAAGGGGTTCACCGAGCAACATTCGTCCTCCAGATGCAAAGTTGCTCGGGTAACCTCTCTCCGAGTACCACGGAGAGACTTGGATGCTCAGACCAAGACTGATGCTTCAACATGACTGGGTTTCCAGAAGGCCCATCTCCGGAGGCCCTCAGCATTTGGTCCTCCCCGTTCGGTAAGGAGCCACCCTCCACCCCCTGAGAGCAATTATTCATCACCTCCCTAGCGCATCTACCATCGCCCCAGAATAGATTTCTAGAGCCTTCCCGGAAGTTGACCTCGAGACCCAGGTAGCCAGGGGCTGGCCCTGGGCAAGAGAAGTGGGCACAGTCAGGAGGTGTACACAGAACTCTGCCCACTCTCATCTTTCCCTTGCCAGCCCCAGAGACAGGGAAGCCCTAAGGTCCTGCATGCACACCCGCCACCCTCGCAGTGAGGATGCCCCCAGTAGGAGCAACAAGGCAGTGACCAACATGTAGAGATGCTCCTCTTTGGGCCCACCCACAGCGTCTTCCCCAACCAAGCACTCCCACCGTGTCATCCCTCACAGGTGGTTTAAGAGGTGACAACCAGAACTACCTGACCATTCAACCCCATAAACAAAGCAACTGAAGCTTCACAAACATGAAGGGAGGAGAGGAGGAACAATTCAAGCAGATCCTAAACGGTATCTCTTCAGACACTGTAGAGCAGCTTGTCTGAAGAAGACACACAAGCATGCCATAGGAGAGGGCCAGTCAGTGAGGCTCAAGACCTGATGACATAAGCCAAAAGCAGAGTCTGGATTCTGCGCCCACCACCCGTTTTGCAAACATGGAGGGGGACCAACAGCAGAGTCCTTTGTCTGACACAGCCTTGAAGCAAGAGGCCAGTCACATGCCGTCATAAAGGGGGAAATTGTCACGGGAAGTTTTATCTAGGTGTTTTGGAAACTGACCTGCAGACCAGAGGCTCCTTCCCAAGCTGGCATCGCCTCCTGGAAGTCTTTCTAAGGCCCACACGGTGGTGAGGACAATGGCTAGTGGTAGATACAAGGTCCAGGCAGCAAGCACTGTCCAGCTTAGAACTGTCCAGGGTCTTCCTCCAAGCACCTGTCCTGTAGAGGGTTCCAGTCACTGACCAGCTCCAAGACAACGGTATAGCCTCCGAGGTCCTTTGAGGTAAATGTCCTTCTGGAAAGAGCCACCATGAAACGCTGGTCACCTCTAAAGCAGGCCAGAAAATTCCATCACACCCCAGGTAGTACATTAAATCCTGGCTATGTCAACTCTATGATGATGTCCTATATGGTGCTAGCCTCTAGGACAGAGGGACATTCAGCACCAACAGTGGACATGTCTTAAAAGCTAATAATGCAAGTTGGCAAGACAGGAACCCAAAGGAAGGGCAGTTCCAATACCCCACTGAGCATGGAGCATCCACCCGACCCCGGAGCCAGTGTCTCACCCAGAATGTCTCCTGAGGCTAGAGGGAACTGAAGAAGACTGCTCACAGGCTACATGCGCTGGCACTGGTTCCCATTCACATCCTCCAGGACCCTCGCCAGCCTGTTACTATTGCAGTCAGCACATCTGTCTAGGAAGCATTCTGGAAAGGTTTGTGACAGGAAATAGTGTTTAGTTAGTCACACAAAGGACCTGCATTGTGACCAGGTCTTCCTACTGGTCCCATTGGCTCCAGTCTAAGCACCAAGCACATGGATTTCCCCACCTGGCCAAAAACCACACCCCCATTGATTTTCATAAAACATGCTTTCTCCCTCCCTCCCTCCCTCTCTCTCTCCCTTTCTCTTGCTCTGAAGTAAATTCCATTAAACTAATCCAATTCCCTGTTTAGCTTCCTCGACTATGCTGTTGAGCCATTTTCATTTCTTTTATTTCCCTTGTTATTTTCTCAAATTATTTTCATTAGGATCAATTCTTTCCCATTTAAAAATCTGGACAAAGATTTGATTCCTCAATGTACATTCCTCTACCCCAATATTACTGCTCACAGTAGCCACCACTGCCACAGGCTGCCTCTCGTGGCTGCCATGTCTGTAGAGGACTGTTTCCCCAGGTCAAATGTCGCAGCAGAAATGTGGTCAAGAAAATTGGATTCTTCTGCCAATTTGTAGTCAATTGAACACATTTTCCTCCGAGCCATTCCGGTAGTTTGTGGTGTTATTTTGTGATTATTTTATGACTATTATTTAATGTAAACGGGATGAAATGCTGGCCGCCTCTATTCATTTCCTAACCCATTCAAAAATGGAGAAGAAGGTTTGGTGAGAAATGGGGAGAAAGTGAAGCACACAGGAAGTAGGATGGGGGAGAAAACAGGGAATGTAAGAGGTCATGACCGAGTGAGTTGGGGTGAGGGAGACAGAGAAGGGAAAGCTGCCCTTGTCCTTAATATGTGAGCTCATTTGGCCAAGGTGTCTTCAAAGTAGAGTAGCCAGCATGTTTGGAACCAGGAGGGGGGCTAAGTGCTGCTGTAACATTGGGAATTTAGGCTGAGAAACGCCATCAAGCAGACACTGGCTTCTCTTTATGGGTTCCAGGGACCCTGTGTGTCCGCCTGTCCACACCATCTCCACCATCCATTCTAGCACATGTCATACACAGAGACCCAGAGCATTGCACCTTACCCCCAAAACCACCCCAAGCAGGCTTTGATACTCAAACAAAAGTTGCCTTTGTGTGATTCAACATCAATAAAGCGAATTCACCAAGGGCAACCTCTGCTCCAGAATCAAACGTCAGCACAGGCCGAGAGCAGCGCAGCGCACCTCTTCCCAGGCAGCGCTGCCTCCCTCGGCTCTGGCTCCCTGACTCCCGCCCTCTAAGGAGGCTGGTGCTGCCTCCAGTGCAGCCCCCAGATCCAACTGCAAAACAGCCTCTTACAGACTCTCTCTTGCCTACAGGTAGGAAGAGGCTCATGGAAATGCATCACGGGTCCAGGCTTTGGCCAGCAATTGGTCACTCACCCAAAAGTGCATTACCAAGTTTGAATCCCAAAATGTGTCTCCTAGAGAAGTCATGGGTTGGGTCTGACATAGAAGGAACCATGACTTCTCTGTGTGGTAGGGTCCATCAGGCCCACCAATGAAGGCTGATCTAAAAGTGGTTGACTCCCTCTCCAAGGCAGCATCCTGAGAGGACAGCAAGACCCCAGACCCAGACAAACCAGAAGCATCAGGGAGTACAAGGCTCTGGGACCGTCCTCCATTCTCTCCAGCTTCTGAGAGTCCTCAAAGAGGGTTCAACAGAGAAAACACATCAAACCGCCATTCATCCAATGTCATCCACACCGTGTACACCTAAGGGCACCAGAGATGAGGCTTCTGATCAAGGAACCTGTGCTCCAGAAGGTGGGAAGTGATCCACATGGTAACTACATTCATGCAACGAGCATCATTATAAAATCCAATGGTTTTCCAGCTTTCCCGGGAAAACCAGGCACTACTAAAATACAGAGCACACATTCGGTGTGTGTACATACCTTATAAGCAGCCATTAATGCTCTCATACAGACAAACTGAGGCACAGACAGGTGACTCATTCAAGGTCACACCTTTAGCAAGCACCAGGGAGTATTGGATGCTGCCGAGTCCTCTCCTTCAAACGGGACACTGGAGTCAGAGGAAGGGCATCAGCATGCCAATACTACTAACCGGCGCCGTGAGATGCCCTCCCACACTCCAGGCTGAGAGCTTGTTTTACTTCCTAGAGTTCACCCTGGGGCTACAACACTTAAGAAATAACAATGAACGAAAAAATGAGTGCCTGTACCCAGCTGGCCCCACCCCAGGAGTGACTCAAATTCTTCCTTCCCTACAGCTGCCTCCATCCGGGACCTTTTCCTCACCTAAAAGCAGTGTTTGGCCCAATGTACTTGTACTACGCTTTTTATAACAATGGCCAGAAAGCCACTGCGTCACCCAAAATAGTTGGTGTCATTTCTGGGAAATCCTACTTTGACAACCGGGTGACATAAATCTCAGGAGAAAAAAAAAGTACTTGGTGCAGGGGACACTCCATTTTCTTACCCTGCATGGACGCTGACAGAACTCCCCTGGAGAAGCTCTCCTAGGAAGATTTTAGTGCCGAAAGGAGATTGGCCATGTAATACTCATCATAAATAAAATGAACACACCATGGACAACCTCCGTTCGAGCACTTGATTTCGGGAGCTTTGTTGGCGTGTCCCAGGCAGTGGGCCTGACGAGGGAATCATTCTAGCCATAGAACACATGTGCTGTGGCCTGGGGCCACTTCTTGTCTCCTGCCCGTGGTTGGTATCACTGTCCAGAAGCCATTGCACTATCACAGAGGGGTTAGCCATGCCCACATAAGGTGTGGTCTAGAGAATTGGCCCTCCTTCCAGAGAATGAAAGCCCAGAGGGCTGGTGTGGAAACGCCTATGTGAATGTATGAACATAATCCCTAACTCTGAACTTGACCTTTCCCTAAGGTACTTGAGAGGCATATTTTTATACTATAGAAGTTTAACTCTGTGTGATCTGTAAAGGGGATAAACTGGATGACTATAGACCGCTTCCCCTCATTCCAAAGTAGATATCACCTCCATGAGTCCACCAGAGAACCAGGGACAGACACACTGGGCAAAGATGGCCTGTGTGCTCCTGGAAGTGCCTGTGGTGAACGACCCCTTCACTTACCCCAGAGAAGGGCTAACACCAAAGTCCCACCCTGAAGTGAGGCTCAACCCCAGAAATTCCTCCAAGGCGGGATTTGGTACTGAAAAATAGGTCAACCGTGTATGATTCGTCACGAATAAAGCGAAGGCAACACGGATAACCTATCTTCAAGCACCGCAGCTGAGTGCCAGCAACTCTTCTCTGAAGCTGGCTTCCTCCAGGAAGTCCCCCCAGCATAGTGAGCACAGCAGGCTAGTGCGTTGACTGCAATAGGGTTTGAGGACATGTCACACACCCCACTTTCAACCCTTTTCCCCCTGAAGCTAGCCCTGGCGCCACTACTGAGTGTGGAGTGTCTAAGGAGCCCTTCCAGGGTTTGATGATGGAGGTCCTCTAGCTTCACATCATCAAGGCACACAGCAATGATGCTCACTTTCTTGACATAGGCCTTGTCCCTAGGCATTTCCTGCAGAGCTCACAGAGAGGCCGACTTTATAATACTCGTCATAAACACATTGTCAGCATTGAATACCGACTATGTTATACCACGGTGTGGTGCTGACCTTAGAGGCATGGCCTCAGCCCTCGTGGTGAGCAAACTTTCAGGATGTCTTTCTAAAGGTAGATTTGCAGCTGTTAGTTAAGGGTCTACTGCAGGTGAGAAAAACAAATTAACAACAAATTCCCCTACCTGCCCAATGATGGTGGGTCCTGGGCCTGCATCCATCCCAGAAGCTGGTGCAGAAATAGGCATCCTGTCAAGACGGAAGGTGACACTGAGAAAGGGATCTGATTCCTTTAACTAAACAAATGTGGGGCCCAAATGATGCAGAGATGGCAGCGGGGGGCATCTAAATGGTAGGACCGACTAATGGGACAAACAATGAGAAGAGATCAAAAAAATAACAGCGCCCTTTAAATGATACAACTAACTCTAAAGAAGGAATAAAAAATATAATTGAGAAAAAACTGACAGAGGAAAACACTGATTGAGTTATATCAGCCAGTAGAGTCATCCAAGCTAAATACAAAAGACTTAGGACACGTGAGTAAGAAATGCAGTTCAGAGGTCAGGTGGCAAGCAGGCTAGCCTAAGGTCATGAACAGCAGACAGCTAGGGAGTAGGAACCCACAAATGGTACCCAGGTTGATCCACTGTTCAGCTCAAAGGCCCAACCTAGTAATAAGACTGCTTAGGGAAACCTCCACAAATCTGTAAAACTACTGAGTAGACATTCATGTAGCCACAGCTCATGTCAGTTGATCCATAAAGGACAGCTACAAGTGAAGTGGAGGCTACGGAGAGGAAGACCCTTGGCCGGGTGATGGCGCATACCTTTAATCCCAGCACTCAGGAGGCAGAGGCAGGCAGATCTCTGTGAGTTCAAAGCCAGCCTGGTCTACAAAAGCTAGTTCCAGGACAGGTTCCAAAGCTACAGAGAAACCCTGTCTCAAAAGAAAAAAGAAAAGAAAAGAAAGAGAAAAAAAGACCATTGGGTGTTAATGAAAAGAGAACTTATTTTAAAAAATAAGCTTTTACCCTGTCCTCAAAGGCAAAATGGAGGGAGGAAGGTAAGAGAGAAGGAACAAGGGGAGGGGCTGGGAAAGAAGGAGGGGAGGGGCTAGGCAGGAAATGTGTACCTAGGACCAACAGGGCCTAGGTGGGAATGCTTATCCAGCATGCAGAAGGTGGTGGGTTAAATCTCTAGAACCATAAAGGAAAGGAGGACCCACTAGTTAATATATCTAGATAAGTGACAAGTTTTTTTTTTTTAAAGCCACATCAAAAGAGGTAGTAAAGTCATACAGAAGATGGTAGAGAAGAATGTACATTCTCAGAGGAAACTGCTGTAGTGGGCAGAGAATTCTCTACCTAGCT